GCTTCCCCACTTTTGCTGCACACTCAGCCCTGGCTGCTTCCTCTGGAAAGTCGCCTGCATAAGTTAGAGCCCGGGATTATTTATCAGTTTCCTAATTATTTTGGAGTTGTTTCTGGTGCCTCCGAATTATTTTATATTTTTTTCATTTAAAATAATTTTAAACAACTTTTAAAATGGCATTATTGAAGTCTTTTTTCTTTTCTTACTTTTTTTTTCTTTTTGAAAGAAGCAGCAACACACCCACAGTGTTGCCAGATGCATTTTTTAAAATCTGCCTCATTCAAATTATTATTACTGACTGTCTAACCAAACACAGGTTACTTATTCCTTAGTACCACCAAAATATGTATAACACCCACATGTTGCGCAGAATGCTGCACAGGGCTAGAGACATCCTCACCCTGTAAATCCTGACAGAGTTTTATTGTGCAGTTTTAACTTATTAAGATTCTCCTCAAATCTCACTGTTTGAATATCGATACTTAATTCTGCAGATTGGCCGCGGGTTCCATGTACATGAAACAGTTGGCAAAACTGCCCTAATATGTGTCTGTACATCAGAAAGCACAACAGCCATGCAATCCCACTTTTGATTCCAAAAATTCGTTTTGGAACCACGGATCCAGCTCTGTTCTGGAGCAGAGGATGGTAGCCGTTCACACTGATCCAGACCATGCCTTTCCCCAGCTCAGAGGATAAATGAGCCAGCAGAAAGTTAAGGGGTGCAAAATGCTCAGGTTGCCAAGTAGGAGCCCTGCACCATGCCCACTTTGTGCCATTGAGAGCAGCTCTGAACTGCCCTGGGGACAGCCCCAGCCCCAGGGTAACAGTGGTAACGCCAGGTCAGCTCAGCACAAATAAACCTGGAAAAGGCTGGGATCACAGTATAGAATCATAGAATCATGGAATTGCTTAGGTTGGCAAAGCCCTTTAAGCTCCCCCAGCCCAACCATTCCTCCACCTCTGCCATCCCACCCCCAAACCCTGGCCCTCAGCACCGCCTCTGCCCAGCTGTTAAATCCCCCCAGGGCTGGGGACTCGACCCCTTCCCTG